GGTATTATAAATAATATTTTAGTTTGTTTTTAGTACGAAAGCCCAGTTTCTTTAGTTCTTTTTTTTTTCTAATTTGCTCTAGGGCATGTGCACTCACTGGAGAGAGACAGAGAGAAAGTGAGAAAGCACCCCTCCTCTCCCAAAGGAGACTGCTACACCGTAACCCCTTCTTCACTCTCCTCTCACGACTTTGGGTATGTGTGTTTTCCAAACTGCTGAGCCTGGAACTCAAAACCACAGTCACCAGGACCAGCAGTTGGCATAATGTCTATGTTGCTGGACTCCCATGTGGTCGACTGCAGTTAGAGTCCCGGACCCGGTGGCTTGAACTCACACCAGGTGCATGTGCGTTCGTTCCCAATATCCCGAGAAGAGAATGGAGGAGAAGGGATTGTGGTGTGGTCATCCTCCCTGGGGGGTGATTTCTCACTTTCTGTCTCTCTCTGTCTCTGTCTTTCTGGTGAGCGCACACGTCCTATAGCAAAAACCTCTCCCAAAAAAATTAAAAATAAAAAATAAAACCACAGTCACCTACGTGGGATCCAGTTCCCTTAACCACTACACCACAGGCTAGTCCTCTTTAGTTTTTATGTAAAGTGAACACTATGTTTTTGGTCATATAAAAAATTGTTAGAGTTTCTTAAAGTCCCATCATCTGTGTTAGCCAAAAGAAATACACTCAAATGAAAGATTTCTGCATGAGCATTTATAACAAGTAAACTAACTTTTTAATTAAGTTTAAAAGTTATAAAAAAAAAACATACAAAGGCCTCTCGAATGGATTGACATTCCTTAGGAACCTTTAAAACATTTATAATCTTTGGACTAGGCACCCGATTTTAAGTAGGTATCGTAAAAGAAGTCATTCTAAATATAGTAAATACTTTAGAAATATGGTTGTTTTTATGTACAGTCATTTATAAAAGCAAAAAGTTATAAACACTGTCAAACCAACAGTAGGAAACTAAGTTGACATGGTCCAGTCACTTAATGGACTATAATTCAACATTTTAATTATATTTATAAAGAGCTCATTACAATGTGGAAGAAAGGGTTATGCCATATAATTACACGAGAAAAAAACAGATCCAAAATTGAACGTGCCACATCATCTATAGCAAATGTAACAACAATAATACAAAGAATTCTATGCCTCAACGCAGCTAGCACATACACCAAGATGTTAAAAAGTAATGTCAACTGAATAATGGTATCAAAGGTGAGTTCATTTCTCTGAAATATTCGAATTTTCTATAATAAACATGCATATATGAGTTGAGAGTAAGAAAGAACAATAACATTTACTTTTTAAAATAAATCCAAATAATCGCAAGCAAAACTGTGCCAGAGATTTCAGATAAAATTCATGTCTTTGTGTTGATCTACACACAGATTTCCATCCAGATGATAAAAGTAACTTTGTTGAAAAAATTAACCTATTCAAAACCTGCAGTAGAAACTAAATTGATTATATCTACATTTGTCAGTTCTGAGAGGGATAAAATTTAAGAGATTACTATGCAGATGATCAGAAAAAAGGATTGTATGAAAATATATGATAAATTACAAACAGGAAAAAACTTTATGTGAAAAAAAAATTAACTGGGTAAGTTTACTCCCACCTAGGATCAATTCTTCTAAAACAGGGTCACATTTAGAGAAAGATCAAATAATTTGGATTTGATTAGAATTACCTTGCCAAAGGCCAATGTCGGCCACCTCATGGATTTTGCTCTAACTTGTTTACATTCATCAAGGGTGATGGACAATTCGGCCCACAGGAAACACAATCCTCGCAGACAAAAGGCGGCCCTCCTCGTATTTGTCAGGCAGTGTTTGCCCAACCTGGTCATTCCCAGGTGGCTCCCATGAACTCTCTTGTTCCCGCACTCTTTGGTCTCATGTGGACTCAGACTGTCTTACAATAGACCTCGAAGAGGGAGGCAGCTGCGTGCATTCGATAGAAAATAGAAAAGGGCATGGCCAGGTTAACCACAATTATCCACGGTTCAAAGCCAAAGACAATTTCCTCCAATCCGTTGTCATACTCAGGGCGGCAGCCAAAGGCGGGAGGTATCCAAAGCTGCAAGAGAAGAGGAAACTATCTACCATGGGGAGCAGCTGCCAAGCCACCCAGGAAGCCCCACTCAAATCCCACGTGCCACTAGCGCTGACCTGGACTCGTGGCGCCAAGTCATACCTGTTGGAGTGATGAAGCAACTGCACAGCAGTTCTCATGGAATGGAAACCACCAAATCTGTAAGCCTTTATGAGTCTTTCCTCACCCACGCCTCCTTGCCATCAGTTCTGAAGGACACTTTCCAAGCAGTACAATTTTCTCCATCCCTATACTCTTCCCCCAGCCTGTGTCTCCATGTGTAAAATGGGCAGGCCTACACCCTTTTGAGAGGGCTCAGGTGAGAATAAAATAAGAACTAAGGATGGAAAACGTAGAGCAGTAACCTATTATTTTGGTTGTTCATGGAATCTACACTCTGGTTTCACCCTCTTGGTCTCTGCCCCAGTTTTCTCCTTCTTCTTCCACCACCCCTTAAGCCATTGGAGCTCCTTGGGACCGAGTCTTGGGTGCTCCTTCCTGCACACTGCAGCAGCTGCACCCCTCCCATACTGTGGCAGGTGGCCTCCGCGATGACCCTCAGCATCCCCGGCTCCCGGAGTCAGCCCCTCTGGGAGTCACCTTCTCTTGAATGTGGGATGAACTTGGTACTTGCTTCCACCAAACAGAACATGGCAAAAGGCATGGAAGCCACTTCAGAGATTTGGCTACAAAAGTACCTGACCCTTCTCTCACTCATCCTCTCTTGCAAGGGAGGAAGTCAGCTGCTCTATTACGATCTGCCCTCTGGAGAGTGGGTGGGCCACATGGCAAGGAACCAAGAGAGCTCTCAGGTCAATACCAGCAGGAAACCAGGCCCTAAAGAAAGGAAGGAAGGAAGGAAGGAAGGAAGGAAGGAAGGAAGGAGAAGGGGAAGGGGAAAGGAAAGGCAAGAAAGAAAGAAAAGAGAGAGAAAAAAAGTGTCTCGTGGGAGGACAAGAGTGCCACAGGTTAGAACTGAATCTGTAGGTGATAGGTATTATAAATAATATTTTAGTTTGTTTTTAGTACGAAAGCCCAGTTTCTTTAGTTCTTTTTTTTTTCTAATTTGCTCTAGGGCATGTGCACTCACTGGAGAGAGACAGAGAGAAAGTGAGAAAGCACCCCTCCTCTCCCAAAGGAGACTGCTACACCGTAACCCCTTCTTCACTCTCCTCTCACGACTTTGGGTATGTGTGTTTTCCAAACTGCTGAGCCTGGAACTCAAAACCACAGTCACCAGGACCAGCAGTTGGCATAATGTCTATGTTGCTGGACTCCCATGTGGTCGACTGCAGTTAGAGTCCCGGACCCGGTGGCTTGAACTCACACCAGGTGCATGTGCGTTCGTTCCCAATATCCCGAGAAGAGAATGGAGGAGAAGGGATTGCGGTGTGGTCATCCTCCCTGGGGGGTGATTTCTCACTTTCTGTCTCTCTCTGTCTCTGTCTTTCTGGTGAGCACACACGTCCTATAGCAAAAACCTCTCCCAAAAAAATTAAAAATAAAAAATAAAACCACAGTCACCTACGTGGGATCCAGTTCCCTTAACCACTACACCACAGGCTAGTCCTCTTTAGTTTTTATGTAAAGTGAACACTATGTTTTTGGTCATATAAAAAATTGTTAGAGTTTCTTAAAGTCCCATCATCTGTGTTAGCCAAAAGAAATACACTCAAATGAAAGATTTCTGCATGAGCATTTATAACAAGTAAACTAACTTTTTAATTAAGTTTAAAAGTTATAAAAAAAAAACATACAAAGGCCTCTCGAATGGATTGACATTCCTTAGGAACCTTTAAAACATTTATAATCTTTGGACTAGGCACCCGATTTTAAGTAGGTATCGTAAAAGAAGTCATTCTAAATATAGTAAATACTTTAGAAATATGGTTGTTTTTATGTACAGTCATTTATAAAAGCAAAAAGTTATAAACACTGTCAAACCAACAGTAGGAAACTAAGTTGACATGGTCCAGTCACTTAATGGACTATAATTCAACATTTTAATTATATTTATAAAGAGCTCATTACAATGTGGAAGAAAGGGTTATGCCATATAATTACACGAGAAAAAAACAGATCCAAAATTGAACGTGCCACATCATCTATAGCAAATGTAACAACAATAATACAAAGAATTCTATGCCTCAACGCAGCTAGCACATACACCAAGATGTTAAAAAGTAATGTCAACTGAATAATGGTATCAAAGGTGAGTTCATTTCTCTGAAATATTCGAATTTTCTATAATAAACATGCATATATGAGTTGAGAGTAAGAAAGAACAATAACATTTACTTTTTAAAATAAATCCAAATAATCGCAAGCAAAACTGTGCCAGAGATTTCAGATAAAATTCATGTCTTTGTGTTGATCTACACACAGATTTCCATCCAGATGATAAAAGTAACTTTGCTGAAAAAATTAACCTATTCAAAACCTGCAGTAGAAACTAAATTGATTATATCTACATTTGTCAGTTCTGAGAGGGATAAAATTTAAGAGATTACTATGCAGATGATCAGAAAAAAGGATTGTATGAAAATATATGATAAATTACAAACAGGAAAAAACTTTATGTGAAAAAAAAATTAACTGGGTAAGTTTACTCCCACCTAGGATCAATTCTTCTAAAACAGGGTCACATTTAGAGAAAGATCAAATAATTTGGATTTGATTAGAATTACCTTGCCAAAGGCCAATGTCGGCCACCTCATGGATTTTGCTCTAACTTGTTTACATTCATCAAGGGTGATGGACAATTCGGCCCACAGGAAACACAATCCTCGCAGACAAAAGGCGGCCCTCCTCGTATTTGTCAGGCAGTGTTTGCCCAACCTGGTCATTCCCAGGTGGCTCCCATGAACTCTCTTGTTCCCGCACTCTTTGGTCTCATGTGGACTCAGACTGTCTTACAATAGACCTCGAAGAGGGAGGCAGCTGCGTGCATTCGATAGAAAATAGAAAAGGGCATGGCCAGGTTAACCACAATTATCCACGGTTCAAAGCCAAAGACAATTTCCTCCAATCCGTTGTCATACTCAGGGCGGCAGCCAAAGGCGGGAGGTATCCAAAGCTGCAAGAGAAGAGGAAACTATCTACCATGGGGAGCAGCTGCCAAGCCACCCAGGAAGCCCCACTCAAATCCCACGTGCCACTAGCGCTGACCTGGACTCGTGGCGCCAAGTCATACCTGTTGGAGTGATGAAGCAACTGCACAGCAGTTCTCATGGAATGGAAACCACCAAATCTGTAAGCCTTTATGAGTCTTTCCTCACCCACGCCTCCTTGCCATCAGTTCTGAAGGACACTTTCCAAGCAGTACAATTTTCTCCATCCCTATACTCTTCCCCCAACCTGTGTCTCCATGTGTAAAATGGGCAGGCCGACACCCTTTTGAGAGGGCTCAGGTGAGAATAAAATAAGAACTAAGGATGGAAAACGTAGAGCAGTAACCTATTATTTTGGTTGTTCATGGAATCTACACTCTGGTTTCACCCTCTTGGTCTCTGCCCCAGTTTTCTCCTTCTTCTTCCACCACCCCTTAAGCCATTGGAGCTCCTTGGGACTGAGTCTTGGGTGCTCCTTCCTGCACACTGCAGCAGCTGCACCCCTCCCATACTGTGGCAGGTGGCCTCCGCGATGACCCTCAGCATCCCCGGCTCCCGGAGTCAGCCCCTCTGGGAGTCACCTTCTCTTGAATGTGGGATGAACTTGGTACTTGCTTCCACCAAACAGAACATGGCAAAAGGCATGGAAGCCACTTCAGAGATTTGGCTACAAAAGTACCTGACCCTTCTCTCACTCATCCTCTCTTGCAAGGGAGGAAGTCAGCTGCTCTATTACGATCTGCCCTCTGGAGAGTGGGTGGGCCACATGGCAAGGAACCAAGAGAGCTCTCAGGTCAATACCAGCAGGAAACCAGGCCCTCAGCCCAACAGCCCACAAAGTTGCAGATAATTTCTTGTCCAGAAGTAGGTAACTATATGGCATCATTGACATCTCATACAGAACGCCCCCTACTGTATATCTCTATTCTACTTTGTTTTCTGGCTTCTGGGACCCTTAGGGGATATCCTCCTAGCACTGCAGCTGGTTCTTCCCAGTCTCCTTTTTTGCCGTCTCATCCTTTATTCACCCTCATTAATACTGGCTGATACTAGGGCTCACTTCTGGGTCTACTTCTTTTCTTTATGCATATTAATTCCCCATCTAAATCTCCAGACTGGGCCACTGTCAAGAATTCCAGGCTTGGAACCAGCATATGGCATAATGGTTACGTCACTGGACTCCCACATAGTCAACCATGGTTTGAGTCCCGGACCCGGCAGCTTGAAACACGCCTGGCAGGTGTGCGTGTGTGCTCAAAATCCCAAGAGAAGAATGGATTGTGGCATGGATATCCCCCCTTTGGGGGGGGAGTGATATTTCACTTCCTATCTCTCTGTCTCTCTGTCTCTCTCTGGTGAGCCCCCTGCACCCTATAGTAAAAATTTTTAATAAGAAAAAAGAAGAAAGAAGAAAGAAAGAAAGAAAAAAAGAAAGAAAGAAAGAAAGAAAGAAAGAAGCAAGAAAAAGAAAGAAAGAAGAGAGAGAGAAGAAAGAAGAAAGAAAGAAAAGGAGAGAGATAAAGAAAAAGAAAGAAAAGAAAGAGAAAGAAAGAAGAAAGAAAGAAAGAAAGAAAGAAAGAAAGAAAGAAAGAAAGAAAGAAAGAAAGAAAGAAAGAAAGAAAGAAGATTGATTCCAGGTTGATATTTGATCTGGCAATTTTGGTGTCTAAAATGAATTCCAAATTCAACCTGCCTTTTCCATTTTGCCCCATCTTATCAGCATCACACACACACACACACACACACACACACACACATACACGCACCAGTTCCTCAATCAGAACTGCAGTCATCATCCTTGTTTTCTCTCTTACTCTCATAGCCATCACCCCGACATCCAATCCAACAGCAAAATAATATGTTCGGTCCATCCATGTCTCCCCACCTCCACCTGCCCGGGCTGCCCTCTCTCCCCTGGACCATTGCAGTAGCCTCCCAACATGTCTCCCTGATTACACTCTTACTCCTAAAGTCTATTTTTCACTCAGCTGCCAGATTAACTTTTTATGAAAATTAGGTCATGTCTCTCCCCTATTAAGTCTTCCCAGAATATCTAAAACAAAATCTACATTCTAGCAAAAGAGTAAAACCCTCTCCTAGCTGATCCCTTACCAGCTCCCACTCGTCTCCCCCTACTCAGCCTTCTTTCTCAAGCCAGAGGCGCTCACACCCACCGGGGGTTTAAGTACTGGTGTCTCCTCTGTCTAACATCACCGGTCTCAGCTCTAAGGCCACCACTCCAGAGAGCCCTCTGGCCCATCTAGTCCACCCATCAAAAATGGCCATTCAAATGCTCTAAAAACCCTCACTTTTCATTTCTCTGCATAACATGTCACTATAAGGTGTTTTCTTGCTTAGTTAGTTATTCTGTCCTATGACTTATTTGTAAGTCCCAAAATAGAAAGACCAGAGGCCTTGGTCATTGCTGTACCCTCATCACTCGTAGCAATGGATACAGAGAGAGAAAGGAAGGTAGAAAGGGGGGATGAGAAGAAAGGCAGGAGGGAAGTTGGGGTCTCTTTCTTGAAATCCAGATCTTCATCTCTGCTGTTAAGTTGGCCATGAACTCTTGCTTCTCATCCCATTGAGTGGTGAGCCCATGACTCTATCCGTTGAATCTGGGTGAGCTTTGTTGCTGCTTGAACAATAATATATGGTGAACGTTACACCATGCAATTTCCAAGAGCAGCTCTTAGGAGCTTGGCAGCTTCCACTTTCAATCCCTCAGAGGACTGGCTCTGGGGCTCTGACCTGCCACACACCAAGACCATCTACCCAGAGACCACCACGTTGTGGAGCTCACATGTGGATGCTCCAGCCAAGAGTGACAGTTGAGCCTGGCCTTCCAGCCACACCAACTCAAAGCACCTGGTCTTGGACCCTCCGGTCCAATGCATCCACAAGCTTCATTTGATGCTGCGAGAAACAGAATTGCCTGGCCAAGTTCTGCCAGAATTTCTAACCCATCAAGTCATGAGTCACAATAAAAGCATAAAAAATAAATTTGCTTTGTTTTCATCATGCATTTGGGGTCATCTGTTACCAGTGATAGAAAACCAGAACATCCGCCTATTGGCTATGTCTGCTTGAATGGCACAGATGCTCCTGAAATGGGATGTGTTCCATATTAAACTCACATTCTGGGGCCAGCAGGTTGCCTTGCAGTTAAGACACTGGATTCCCACATGGCTGACCACAGTTCAAGTTCCAGACACAGCAGCTTGAAAATCACACCAGGTACATGTGCATGCATACCCAAAATCCCAAGAGGAGAATGAAAGGCATGGTCATTCTGCCTCGGGGGTGATTTCTACTTTCCCTCTCTATCTCTCTATGTCTCTCTCCAGTGAGCTCACACAAGCCATGATAAAAAACCCTAAAACAAAAATTCTTCCTTCCGCATTGACCCCCAACCCACCCACTGTTCCCAAGCCTGCTTCTCCTCCAGAGAAAACAGTGTCATCATCTTCCCTGAAACAGAAGTCAGAAACCATCTCCCTCCCTGCACATCCTCCGACACAGAGACACTCAGGGCATTAGGCTGAGTGAGGTGTACCAGTCACAGAGGGCCGAGCACCACAGGACCCCACTTCTGTGGGGTTCCTGGAGAGGCTGAATTCATAGAGAATTGTGACCTCGGGCTGCAGGGAAAGGGGGAAGGGGAGTTAGTGTTTAATGGAGGCAGTTTCAGTTCTGCAAGATGAAAAAGCTCTGGAGATGGGTGACTGTACTTAACTACTGACTGATACACTTACGAAGGGCTACAACGAGAAGGTCTATGCTACGTGCTGAATATGTCCCCCAAATTCATGTAATGGCATTGAGAGAGTGAAAACTTGATCCAGTTATGGCATTGAAAGGTGGAGCTTTGGGGAGGAGATTAGGATCAAGAATGGCGCCCCCATGACCGGCTTCTGGTGGGCTTACAACGAGAGAGACCCATGTGGAACACAGCCATGCCCTGCCCTCCTGCCCTCTTCCCTGCTGCAATACGTTATTAAGACCTTCCGTGGTGGTGGCACCTGAACTGGGACCTCCTTCAAATCGTGAGATGAGTCCGCCTCTATTCTCTTCACTACTCAGACTCAGGTATTTTCTGTTATTAGCCACAAAACTAGAACATGTTTCTGCTAAAATTAAGAATAAAATAAAATAGGGCTGGACCCATAGCTTAGCGGTTAAGAGAACCAGATCCCACATGGCCTATAGCAGTTCAAATTCTAGCCCTGGTGATTTGAAAAGATGCTGAGGACACGTACATGCGTGGCAGAGTCCCGAAACGAAGGAGATATGGAGGAGAAGGAATTGCTTCGACCACACCTCACTAGATAGTATTTTTTCTCTCACTTTCCCTGTCTTTGTCTCTCTCCAGCAAAGGCATGGGCCCTATGGCAAAAAATAAAATAAACACAAATTTGATAAAAACCTTCAACAATTTTCTATTTAGGATTAAGTCCTGGCTCACAAGGCCCCTTGTGGTCTCCCCTCTCTCTCCCTACCTCTGTGCTCTCTGAGCACGCGTAGCAAGCCCTGCCTTGCTCTGCTTCAGTGCCTTCCCCATGCCTGTAGTTCTCCCTCATCGTCCCCCACCTTTTATTCATCCTGAGATCCCCCACGTCCCATAGTACCCTGTACTCCTCTGTCACCTCAGCCACCACTACAGCTTCTAGAAACTCAAGTGACCTTTCTGTCTGTGTGAGGGTTTGCGTGGAGCCCGCTCCACGTGGATATGCATTTCAGCAGCTGCAAGTGGAGCCTCTGCACCAGCTCGCAACTCCTGACAAGAACAGCTCCCTCTCTGCCAGACGCCTTTGGCACAACATGGGATCAGCCACAAAGTTTCAAAGCACCACCCACTGGGACGGCTCAGAGAGTCCTAAAATATCACCCTGCGATGATCTCCATCCTCTGGTCCAATCCCCAGCGAGCTGAGCCAGTGCCTGGAGCCATCACAGGCAGAGCACAGGGATGCAGAGACAAAACGCACTCTCCTTGGGCTGGGCCCTGGGCCTGGCCTTCAGGTCCCAGCAGACCATCCCCTGCCCCGAGTCTAGTATGTCAAGCAAACAGAGCTATTGCACCCCAAGTGGGTGCAAAAATGCAAGTCATGTATTTCACCCAGGGGGCAACCAAAAAAGCAACAAGGGAAGTGTGGCTTTTCAAAGCTCGCTAAAAAGAGATGCATTCATCCCACAGGGTCTGTTCAAAAAGCATGTCCTTGAGGGAACGTCCCAAACCAACTTTGACCTTACAAAAGTCGGAGCTATTGCACACCTCACGGGAGGAACGGCTCTGGCCTTGCTCTTGTTTCGGTCTTTAACTCCTCAGTTCGCTGCTGTGCCCCGATGTCGACCCTGGCACCCAGCTGGCGCTCACTGATTATCTGTTAGGTGAGGTGTAGGCAGTGGGCGCTGCTGTGCAATGCTGGAGCCAGAGGCTCAGGGCCTGGGTCAGCTTGACCATGAGGGCTAGGCCCACAGGGGCGCCCTGATCCTGGCTAGCTGGAAGGCTTAGGGGCCGTGGCTTGCTAACACCCTACCAGTGGTGAGCCTCTCTCAATAAATAAATAAATAAATAAACAAACACTTTTGAAAAATGCCTGTTCAATGAAAAGAGTTCAGCCTGGAGCCGCATGTTCAGGGCCCTTCCCTTTAGAGATCCTTTACCTGCCAGAACGGAGGGGCTGATGCCCGAGTGATCCAAAGCAAGAGTCAGACTGGCTGGTAGACACGTGGCCGCCCTGGCTTCACACAGCCCTCTCGATTTTGAGGCCTTAGAATAATAGCAACCGCTGTAGCTCCTGGGCATGCACCAAGTGAAATTCCGGAGAGGAAGCTTAAAAGCCTAGAGCTGATGGGGGAACACGGAGCAGCCAATGTGACAATGCAGGTAGTGGAGAGCTGACTGCACCAGAGGATGAGCAGCTGCCTCTGTGTGTGGCCTGGGGCATCCCCAACGCCCCACCAGCCACAGCCAGTGCAGAGGCCCATGCGGTGCCAAAGGCCGCTCCCCTCCATTTTAACAAGCCCTGCTATCTTTCTCCAAAGAATCACTAGAGGGACCAGCAGTTGGCGTAATGGCTGTGTGGCTGGACTCCCACGTAGTCGACCATAGTTCGAGTCCCGGACCCGGTGGCTTAAACTCATGCCGGGCATTTGTGCGTGCATGCCCAGAATCCGGAGAGGAGAATGGAAGAAAAGGGATTGCGGCATGGTCATCCCCCCTGGGGGGTGATTTCTCGCTTTCTGTCTCTCTGTCTCTCTCTGTCTGTCTGGCGAGTGCACGCGCCCAATAGCAAAAAAAAAAAAAAAAAAATCTCCAAAAAAAAAAAAAAAAACTCTTAGAAAAATAAAGAATCTCTAGAAAAGTCCCAGCGGCACACCCTGCTCATCATTCCCCTGTCTTCTGTCTGATTCAGGCTCCCATCCGTTCCCACCGGGGCTGCTGCCGCGGATGCCTTCCATTCCGCTCTCCCTGCCTCTGCCTTATCTCCCTCCGTCTTTCCTGCACAGGGCTGCTGGGAGGTCATTCTAATAGACAACCCTGAGAGGACCCTCTCTCACCCTCAGCACAAAGGCCTAGGAAGCCCTGCCCCGGCCATACCCATCCAGCCGGACTCTCTCCTATGGCCCACTGTGCTGCTCTGCTCCACATGTGAGAAGTGTGTGCTGGACTACTGGGTGCTCCCAAGGATGCCGTCTTCACACATCATGTGCCCTCTGCCCAAACACGTTCCCCTGCCCTGACCACCTGGTGCACTCCCAACTGCCCCTTGGGCTGAGTCCGGCCACACTGGGTGAGTGTCGGTGCACCTTTCTCTCCCTTGCAGCTAGGGGTGGCCATGTGAGGAACACTGTGGGGCACCAGCCCTTCCCTACTTCTTCCTGGCTTGAACCCACATGTGATGCTTGGTGCTATGGCAGCCATCTTATGACCACGTGGCAAAAAGCACCACACTGAACACAGTAAAAAGGGGATATGGAAGGGCCTGGATGCAGTGACATGATTCAGGAGACAGTCCCAAGAAGCCAGCTCTAGAATTCTTGTGAGATCATTAAATATCATTAAGACTAAAGACAATGCTGGTCAAGTATCTATTGCTGGTAGCTTTCTGGCAGAGGCAAGTGCGCTTGCTCTGACATCCGCTGCTCTCCTTGAGGGTGGCATGCTCATGGGAACTCACCCACGACTGCAGCTACGATAAATCCAAAGGCCAAGCCCTTCACAGAGGCCCACCTCACCAAGAGACTTGTATCTCGTTTCACAATCATGTAACTACAAGCAGCTTCAGAAAGGAGAAGAGGCCACCAAAGGCCTCAACAAGAGCATCTCTGAGTTCACCATGATGGCCGTGGATGCTGAGCCCTGAGCTCCTTCTTCACCTCCCACGCTTCATCTCTCCTGGCACCACCAAGAAGGCTCACAGCTCAAGCAACAGATGCCGTGCACGCAGTCACCACAGAAGGTTCTCAGTCCAAGCTGGCCTCTGCCCTGTCCTCCCCGCTGACTTTACTCTGAGCTCGTGCATCCTGCCATCTGTGCTAGCACACAGTACTTCTAGCTACCTCCTACTGTTACAAAATATCAGTACTCAACCTGGTTTCTGAATTTCTGCATTGTTTTGTTTTGTTTCCCCAGGTTGTTTTGCCCACTTCTCTTCCCACCCTTTCTCTCTGCCATCCTTTTAAACTCTCTTTTTTTTTTTTTTGGAGAGGTTTTTGCTATACGGCACATGCACTCACCAGACAGAGAGAGACAGAGAGTGAGAAATCATCCCCCAGAGGGGATGGCCACGCCACAATCCCTTCTCTTCTGTTCTCCTCTCAGGATCTTAGGCACGAACGCACACGCGCCGGGCATGAGTTTAAACCACCGGGTCCAGGACTTGAACCGCAGTTGGCTACATGGGAGTCCAGCGACATAGCCATTACACTAACTGCTAGTCCCTTGAACTCTCTTTTGAAAAGTGAACTAATGCCTAGAATGGACAGAAACAGTGATGACCACGGCCAGCAGAGCCGGGCAGAGACCTGGCTCCAGCTTTCCTCAGCGCCCTCCTGTGTGCAGCGTATGGTGACGTGAGCACTGCCTGCTTTGTCTTGTTTGTGCCTGGCACACAGAACCACTCTAGGCACCAGCAGATGGCTTAATGGTTACGTCACTGGACTCCCACATAGTCGACCACGGTTCAAGTCTTGGACCCAGCAGCTTAAAACTCACGCTGGGCACGTGTGTGTGTGTGCCCAAGATCCTGTGAGGAGAAGGGACCAGCAGTTAGCATAATGGCTATGTCGCTGGACTCCCATGTAGTCGACCACGGTTTGAGTCCTGGACCCGGTGGCTTAAAACTCACACCAAGTGCGTGTACGTGCGTGCCCAAAATCCGGAGAGGAGAATGGAGGAGAAGAGACTGTGGCGTGGCCATCCCCCCTGGGGGAGTGATTTCTCACTTTCTATCTCTCTGTCTGTCTGGCGAGCGCACGTGCCCTATAGCAAAAACCTCTCAAAAAAAAAAAAAGATCCTGTGAGGAGAATGGAGGAGAAGGGATTGTGGCATACGGTGTGGCCATTCCCCCTGGGGGGTGGTTTCTCACTTTCTGTCTCTCTGTCTCTCTCTGTATCTCTGGCCAGTGCACACACCCTAGAGCAAAAATCTTGCTAAAAAGAGAAAGAAAGAGAGAAGCACTCTACACATGAACACATGCTGAACGATGGACGGGCTCCTTTCTCTCAGGAGTCACGTGTCATTTGGGGAGGAAGCATATGTCCCGTGAAGTTGGACTTCTGCCCAGGCATCATTTACTAACGTCCCCTGCCGCCTGCTCTGGGTACTGTGATGTTACCGGGCAGACACGGGGGGCTGACTTGGGTCTCAGGAGTCAGGAGTGGACAAGGCAGAGGGCGCACTGGGCAGGAGTGAAGGACTCAGAAAGCACGGCGGCCGTACTGGAAGCCACGGCTGAGCCGACCGGGTGCACGGAAACAATGGGAGATGGATAGGTGGCACCGGCTCTGGAAGCCCTCACCTCGTTTTCTGCCACGGCATGGAGCAGAGGTGGTCTTTATCACATGAGAAGAGTGCGAGTGGCCATTCATTCTTGTGAGCATCACAGCAAGAAATGAATTCCTATCCCAGTGTTTGAAACTCTAGTACTCACTGTCAGAGCCACTACTGACTGAGCCTGGGTCTCCGCTCAGGTACCCCTCCTCGTTAAAGCCCTCCCTGGGTCCCTGATCTCGATCCGCTTTGCACATACCCCTGTCTCGGACTTCTCTTTGTCCCCATCTCGGACTCTGCTGTGATCTTTTTTGAAGAAAGAGACCGTGTCTTCTCACCTTTAATCCAGCCCCCAGCACGGAACCTGCCAGAACCCAGTAGGTTCCCAGTAAGCACACTGAGTAGTGTAAGTCTACTCTCCAGCCTCACCTTTTAAACTTAGAAAGTATTTCTATTACGAACTGCCTCTATTCCTTATTTGAAAAAGGCAAAGAAAATAGATGAACTGGTTTAAAGGTAATAATGACAACGATGCAGATTACCGAAATATTGCAGAGGAACAAGAAGGCGGCAATGTTCCTCAGGACTCTCCTCTTGGCGTTGCCCTGCAGGACCCAGGGACGGCAGGTTGGGCCCGGGGCCTCTTCCCAGAACCCCTCTTCTTCTCTGCCACAGCCTTCCCTCAGACACAACCCATTGGCTGCAGGTGACATGTCCCTGCTCTGGGAAGCCCCCTCCCCAGCCATATCTGTGCTCTTGGGGCAGGAGGAAGTGAGGGCTGTGGTGTTGCCATTGCAGACGGTGACCACCCGGAGCATTCGGATGTCCTCGGAGAGCTTCTCGGGCTCTCGGTGAATGGACTCAATGATGAAGAGGTTCTGGATGTATTTCTCAACGATCACCAGGACAGAGTAGGGCAGGTTGTACCAAGTGTACGGCGGGCGGTCCTCGGCACAGAGAATGGCCAAGATCGAGCCCCAGGAGAGGAGCCAGGAGCCCGAGGCAGTGCCCACCAAGAGGTCCGCGTCCAGTTTGCGAGCCGGGTTTTTGGACTCATCCAGTGACTTCTCGTCTGTCCTGTAAATCCAGATCCCCAGCAGCCCCACAGCGCCCATGAGCATCAGCAGGGCGGTGGCGTACAGGTAGAACATGATGAGCGCTGACTCACTCTTGACTTTGGAGCGCCCGATGTGAATCAGGTACACCACCACCACCCCAATGGTGGCAGCCAGCACGGTCAGGCCCAGAACCGAACCCGCCATGACCCCATTGAACTTGAACTGCATCTTCTGGTGCTGGTAGCTGTCCACTTTGCGCCCGATGTTCTTCCAGAGGACGTAGAGCATGGTGGAGGCCAGGATCTGGTACTCGATGTTGAAGGGGTAGAGGTAGTAGATCCCGTGGGAGATGGCAGAGCACAGGGGCGGAGGGGAGCAGTTACACTGCGGGGTGTGGTCATCCAAAACTAGGGAAACGGCAGAGCACACGGAGAGCGTTAGCATGTGCAGAAGGGAAGGGGCCGAGTAGAGAGATCTTCCCCTGGGAACGCATGCTTGGGTCTTCCCACTGGATTAAAAGCTTTATTTTAATGCTTATAATCATGTTTAGTATCATGACTAAATTGATAGCCATGAAAGTCCTCAACATCAAAGGAGTATAATTATAATTACATAAAATCATATTTTATCCATACACTAGATTATTTTGTTGCCATTATAAATAGTATGATAGAAATTTAATTATCAGCAAATAAAGACATTCCCAGCACACTGTACTTTCCTCTACCTTTCATTCTCCTCAACCAAATGTTCTAATATAGACGTGTAGATCATAACAGCTTACGGATTTGGGAAGATAATATAAAGAGAATGCTGGGACCAGCAGTTGGCATAATGGCTGTGTTGCTGGACTCCCATGTAGTTGACCACGGTTCAAGTCCCTGACTCAGTGGCTTAAACTCACACTGGGCACATGTGCGGGCATGCCCAAAATCCCAAGAGGAGAATGGATTTCAGCGTGGCCATCCCCCCTAGGAGGATGATTTCTTGCTTTCTGTCTCTCTCTGTCTTTCTGGTGAGTGCATGTGCCCTATAACAAAAAACCTCTCCAAAAGAAGAAAAATACAATAAAATAAAATAAAGAAAGTGCTACGGGCTCTCAAATAGGAACAAAAATGAATAAAGACAGGCCAAAATTCTAAGTATCTTGTTCCACAAGATACTGTTGGACAACAAAAGCAAATTGTCAAAGAAGATAGAGAGCATGACTGAGTTTTGTGAAATACGGATACATAGACAGGAAAAAATCCGGAAGCACGTCAACTAAAATGCTAATAATTGAGGCCTGCCGGTGGTATAGTGGTTAAAGTGCTGGATTCCCACATGGTCAGCCACAGTTCAAGTCCCAGATCCAGTGGCTTAAAACTCACACCAGGCACATGTGGGTATATGCCCAAAATCCCAAGAGGAGAATGGAGACAACATTGCTGTGTGGTCATCCCACCTGGAGGTAATTTCTTCCTCTCTCTCTTTATTTTTATCTCTCTGGCAAGCATACGTGCCCTATTGATTTTTGCTTACCTGTATTTTTAAATTTTTCTTTGTGGATATGATTTGCATGTGTGATTTTTAAAGTATTTTAAAAACTACTTTGTGGGGGCTGGCAGGTGGTACGATGGTTGAGGGCACTGGACTCCCACATGGTCGACCACGATTCGAGTCCCAGACCTGGCGGCTTGCTTTCTCACTTTCCCTCTCTCTCACTCTGTCCTTCTCTGGTCAAATTTAAATAAATAAATAAATAAATAAAGTTAAATAAAATATTCTTTAAAAAAAAAAAAACTACTTTGTGGGGGAAAAAAAGGCTATTCTAATGAGAAACATCCTCCTCTGAAGACAACCTGACACTAGCAATCGTAGCAGGAGACGGCCACAAGAACAGCAGGTTTGAGAGCAAATCAGCACCACCTGCGGGGGGACAACCAGGCACCTAGGAGAAGAACTCTGGAGGAAGGCTCAGACTATAAGGCTGTTGGAGCTACTTTTTCCAGTAGATTAATCTAACCTCATCTTTTCACAGAAGACCTTAGAACCAGATTGGTACAAAGGACAGATCCATTACAAGGAGGAAAAGAGCTGTAAATAAATGAAATACTCATGTTGAGCCTTAAAGATAATAGAAATATGGTCTCTCACCAATAATCCCGATCTACTCTCTACTCGAAGAGAGAAGAAAAAGTGTAATCAAAGCATTAGACAAAATTGTGTGTGCATATATGAGAGACCGAGAGACCAAGGTCCAATAATTTAGAGATTAAGTTGACTATTGTACATCCATAAAGTGGAATAGTGGGCATCCATAAAAAGTCATAATCGAGGCATGTTTTAACAATATAGGAAAATAATCATGTTATAATGGAAATGGGGAAAAAGTAAGAACAAATTGTATAGCCAGTATTTTTTTAATGTAGCTCACAACCCAATACTGTGTTATCGAAGCAATTGAGAGTGGGAGCAAGCAACATCTTTCTAACAGCATGGATTTGACATAGAATAGAATAGGATAGAATGGAATGAAATTGAGACAGAAATCTGACCATGTCTCTGCTCAGTGTAAGAGTATCTTTTTTTTTTTTTTTTTTGGAGAGGTTTTTCGCTATAGGGCATGTGCGCTTGCCAGACAGACAGAGAGAGACATAGAGACAGAAAGTGAGCAATCACCCCCCAGGGGGGATGGTCACGCCGCAATCCCTTCTCCTCCATTCTCCTCTCGGGATCTTGGGCATGCACGCACACGCGCCCGGCGTGAGATTTAAGCCACCGGGTCCGGGATGCGAACCACGGTCGACTACGTGGGAATCCAGTGACATAGCCATTATGCTAACTGCTGGTTCCCAGTGTAAGAGTATCATTTCATGACACAGGCACACGTATGCACAGGTATGTATGCATTGGTTGCAACGCACAGCTCTCTTACTGTCAGCCAAGTGCTAGCAGCTTTACTGTATTTCTGGGTAAATATTACTGTGGAGTTTTAAATATATTTTGTCATTGCTTAACTCACAATATGCATATACTACTGATAAAATCAGATGAAAAAGCTTTATAGGAGCCAGTAACTATCCTGGCCTTTGAAAAAAACACTATGCAATTTTCAGTTCATAAGAATATTCAGTGTACTCATACTTGGAAAATCCATTTTGTATGTTGTAAAGACGTACAGTGATCAAATGCAAACAAAAACAAGAAAATAAAAGAAAGAAAAGAAGAAAACAAAAAGAAAGATGTTCTTGTAGCTCAATACGGTATTATACAGAAGACAGAAGCGATCCGGAGGAAGGTTCAGGCTAACAGAATGTTACAGGTGACAAAGTCTTCTTCCTAGTAAATTAATTGAACCTATCTTTTCACTGAAGGTGCTGGAACCAGATTGCTGGGATTCTAATTCTAAAGCATTCTGCCTTAATCCTGAACTTGCCAGTAACCAACTCATGTTCTATGGGACATCAGAGAAGCTGAGTCTTGGAAGAAGAGCTACAGGAATGAAAATTCACTGAAAGTAAGCAACCAATCACATACCTCAATCACTTATTAGCTGTGTGTCCTTTGGCTAATTAACTGGCTTTAATGGCTTTGTCCATATAATATGTTTAATGTCACCTGCCTCAGAGTGTTGGGGGAAAAAATTCAAGGATTCATGTTAAGTGACTAGAGCAGTGCAAGGCATTCAGCAATTGCTTAATAAAAGTTTGCTTTGGGGCCGGCCATTGGTGTGGTGGTTAAGGTAGTCAGATCCCACATGTTTCACCCTGCAGTTCAAGTCCCAGAACTGGCAATTTGAAAAATAGACCAGGCTGGAGACCAGCAGATAACGTAATGGTTACATTGCTGGACTCCCACATAGTCGACTGCAGTTTGAGTCCCAGACACAGCAATTTAAAACTCAGGCCAGCCACCTGTGTGTGCATGCCTAAAATCCCAAGAGGAGAATGGAGGAGAAGGGATTGTGGCACGGCCATTCCCCCTGGGGGGTAATTTCTCACTTTCTGTCTCTCTGTCTCTCTGGCAAGTGCACACACTCTATAGCAAAACTCTCTCTGGAAAAAAAAAAAAAGGGAAAGAAAAACAGACCAGGTATATTTGCACATGTGCCTAAAATTCTGAGAGGAGAATGAAGGAGAGGGTATTGTAGCATGGCCATCCCCTCTGGGGGGTGCTTTCTTGCTCCTTCTCTCTCTCGCTCTCTCTCTCTCTCTCTCTCTCTCTCTCGCTCTCTCTCTCTCTGGCAAGTATACATGCAAATTAAGAACAATTGTGTTAGCTTTGCTCTTGTTATTGTTGTCATTGCTGTTACTGTTGTTGATACCAAGGAGGAAACGAGGTCCAAGGAGCAAGAAAGACCTTCCCAAAAATATGTTGCCAGTTAAGGTGGTGAAAAAATAGAGCGTGTGCCCCTGACTTGTCATCCCCACCCCAGCTATGAGGAAGCAGGTTCAAACTTGTCCTCTGTGATGAGCCTGCATAGACTTGCAGTACATTAAGGCTGAAAAGGATCTTGCAAGTATGTGACACATACTTGCGAGTGCCAGAAAGGTAGGATGGCTTCCAAAGACCACACAGCAAGTACAGGAGAAAAGACCCAAACCTGAAACACCCGGTCGCCAGCATATTGCACTTTCCTCTGCCCAACATTTTCCTCCAACTCTAATATTCTAATATAGAAGTGATAGACCCTACATGCTATAGAACTTTGGAAGAAATTATAAAGACAGTGCTGCAGGCTCTCCAATAGGAACAAGGGGGAATAAAGACAGGCCAAAATTATAAGCCAAGTAAAATTAAATTAAAACTTCAAGGGAATCAGCAGTTAGCGTAATGGCTATGTCGCTGGATTCCCACGTAGTCGACCGAGGTTCGCGTCCCGGACCCGGTGGCTTAGAACTCACGCTGGGCGCGTGTGTGAGTGTGCCCAAGATCCCGAGAGGAGAATGGAGGAGAAGGGATTGCGGCGTGACCATCCCCCCTGGGGGGTGATTTCTCGCTTTCTATCTCTATGTCTCTCTCTGTCTGTCTGGCGAGCGCATGCGCCCTATAGCGAAAACCTCTCGAAAAGAAAAGAAAAGAAAAAAGAGAAAACAATTGAACTACAACCAAATAACCACAACCTAGCATTAGACATTTATGGAGTTTTTTAAACCATACTTACAGTAGAAAGAACTGGTAATAGAGGCTTAATTTAAAATAAAACGGGAAAAAAAGAAAACAATCGTTCATAGTTGAAAACAAAGACATTTATTTCTATAGGAATGTGGACCATGAGAAACTGTAATCAAAATGATAACCCTCGGATCTGACAAGTGCCTGAGTCATGAAAGAAACCCTTCATTATGTGCAGCACACCCTACTTACAGAGTCAGGATGAGAGACTTAGGAGTTAGGAAGATTTTGAACAACAGAGGACTGTCTTTGATGCTGAGTTTAGGATACTCTGCCATTCTTTGAAACCTGCTCCTCTGTCTCTGCAGGTTCCCAGGATGCTCGAACATGGCAGGAGAGTGGCTCTCACCTCTTACCTATTGTGATGTTTCCAAAGCCCAGTGTGATGAGCCGCTCCTTGTGCTCATTAAGTTGGTGCTTAGACTCATTCAGGACGCCATTGGCCCACAGAAGGAGGTTGGTGAACACTGAGTGGATCACTCCAAATCTGGAAAACACAAGGACTCAGTTCTTGAGCAGCCCTGGGAAAGATACAAACCCTTTGTGGTGAGGCAGAGAACATCACACACACACACACACACACACACACACACACACACTTCCTTCCCAGCCATGATTCTGGTTTCACCTGGCAGCTCGGACTCTGGGTGGGTCCCCTGTCTGGCTAGGAGTTTTGTTCATGGGACATTTCAAAACCTCAGAGTCTTGGCATTCTGCCTTTAATCTTGAACTTGCCAGTACTAAGCTCATTGTCTATGGTACATCAAAGGAGCTAGGTCTTGGAAGAAGAGTTACAGGAATGAAAATTACTAAAAGCAGGCAACCAACCCCATACCTCAAGCCTTTTTTCCAGAAGAGAAGAGAAGAGAACAATGGGTAAAAGATGAAAGGGCTACAGTCGGAATCTGAAAGGTATACTCTTACTTTTAAGTTGGTCGGCTCAATAATCATTATCCATCTGGCTCTATCTTGCCTCTAAATACTCTGAAACAAGCCAATGGCATGGCCATTATGGCCAATATGACATGAGATGTAACCTCTGGGCACCGTCAAAAGGTTTTTGTTTTTATTTTTATGATAGAGAATGTGCACACATGAGAAAGAGAGAGAGAGAGAGAAGAAACCCAGCAGGGTCCTGTCACACCACAATCCCTCTTCCCCAGCTCGCCAGCTCTCAAAGACCCCAAGCACCTATGTGTGCACCCAGGTCAACCCAGGGATGCAAACCTGTGGTGGACCATATGACTTCCAGCCTTGTAGAGCATTTGGTTTCTGTTGTGCCACAGTGGCTGCCCATGCTTTCTTGATGAATATGATAAGAACAAGAAGCCTGTTTAGGTTCCCTTCCCCTGTGTTAACAACCTTGAATACAGACATGAAGCCTAGAGTTGTAGCAGTCATCTTATAACCATGAGGCAAACATCAAGGAATGAAGCCCATACCTACTAAGGGAGGCAGAGTGGACACCTAGAAAGCCTGGTCTGTGATGACACTGTTGAGCTGCTGACATGTCAGATAGGCCCAGGAATTAGCCCAGGATCACACACGGAGTAATAGCCTCCCTGGGGTTTGAAGTCAGCAAGTACCAGTGGGCATCTAGTTGGACTCCAACGTTCTTCCCTTACTCTAGGGGACACTGACTCCTAAGGAAGAAGGTAGGCAGTAGAAAGTAGATGCTGGACTCTGGAACAGAAGAGAGATCCATGGGGACTGTCACTGCCTGCTCCAAATTCTTCAAAGTCTCCCCAGGCCTGCAGGCTTAAGCTGTATTTGCATGAATAGCTTTCAGGGCACTTAGCAATGCGCCTGGCAGGCAACAGGTGCACCGAATACTGGTGACTTGAGAGAGGCGTTCCTTAGAACTTTATGTGGAACTCACTCCTAACTTGGAGAGCAAAGGCCTAGAGGAAGCAAGCTCCCTCCCTGTTCAACACTTGTCCATGATCTGCCCACAGGAAAAATGGTGCAACTGCATCTTCAACCCTGCCCTGCCTCTCCTCCCAGCTGACCCCTCTGAGACTCTCACGAGCCATTGCAAGCACCGCTTTTCCTCATTTGACCCTTAACTTCCTTTGGCAGCTGCATAATATCCAGGGCCAACTGGAGAAGGGAAGAGAACCCCAGAGTGTCTGAATCAGGTGTTTGCCCATCTGTTTGCCCCTTGCGCTCGCTGGTTGCTATAGCTCATGGCCAGCCTTCCCGAGGCGTCTGGGAGGCATTCTATAGAGCCTTTGACAATGCAGACAATGCTATTTGCCTCACGCTGACCAGCTTTTCTTTTACTCATAATGCACACAGCTCCCCTTTCTTCTCTCCTTTTTTCTGGCTCACATGGCATTGTCCAATCTCGGGCCCAGCGAACTCAAGGAGGCAGCCCCAATGCTGCCCACAGCTGCAAACTGTTTTTTGATGCAGTCTCCCTGTAAGCTGGCAGCCTCCTGCCTGCTCAGTCTGGAAATGGTCCTCCAAACTAAGGGTAGACATCATTTCCTATGCTTGTCTGCCTTCTCATACTCAGGTCCGATAACCCCAGACTACAGTAAAGGGAAGGCTTCCATGAGCCACTTCTGATCTCAATTTATGTTTCCAGCTTTGTGTTTAGAATGACTGACCCTCTAAACCTCACCGTTGGGGAAAAAGAAGAACTCAAACCGTCAAGGAGAATTCTCAGCTCAGGAGAAAACTTCCTGTAAGAGGTGAAGGTGTGAGACAGTGAGATGTTGGCTCAAAAGACCAGAAGAAAACACTAAGTTCAAGGGTGGCAAGTTCAGGAGCTTTCAGGACCTGGCAAGAAATGTCAGTAAGTAACACAGGTCTCTAGGGTTCTTAGGGAGTGGTGGCACTTCCTCAAACTGAGGAGACAGCCCCATCTAAAGAGGTTACACCGATCTCAGCTAGCCTTTTGTTGCCATGTATGTCTGAACTGCTAGGTCTTCTAATTTTTTCTAGAGAAGTCTAAATCTAAAATCAAAAGGTGATGAGTAATTCAAACATGTTTAACACTGTTCCACATTAAAATGAACTAAATGAAGCTAAATTTGTATCTGGTTCAAACCACTTACTCTCCAGCTTAGGAAAGAGACCTGGAAAGAGGGAGAGACTTGTGTCCAATCACTCAACAAGCAATGCCAGCACAGCACTAGATCCTAGCCCCACTAAGTTCCCTCAGACTAAAATCCTCATGATGAAAGTCTGGGTACATGGCCTAGGACAGTAATGTCCATGGAAAGAAAACACAGGAGGAGCTGGTAGGTGGCATGGTGGTTAAGGTGCTGGACTCTCACATGGCTGACCATGGTTCAAGTCCCAGACCTGGCTGCTTGCTTTCTCACTTTCTCTCTCTCTCTCTTTCTCTCCCTCTGGTCAAATTAGAAAATAAATAATAATAACAAATAAAAATAAGATAAATCCTTTTTAAAAAGATAACACAGGATACAATGGTGAGCCATGTATACTTTAAAGTTTTCTAGTGATGACATTTAAAAACATGAAAGCAGGGGGGAAAAGGTGAAAATATATTTTGTTAAACCCACTATGTCTCATATATTATCACATCAATGTATGATCAATACCCGAAAGAGTCATTACTGAGATGTCTCCCATTCTGCTCTTCTTTCTAGTCTCTGACATCTGGAGTGTATTTGACACAGCTCACGTCAGATTGAACAACTCACAATCCAAGTGCTGGGGGGCACAGGGCTGGCCACTGCGGAACCATCAGCGTAGACCTAGGAGGTAAAGCCAGGGCCTCTTCTGCTCGAAGGAATTGAGTGTTCTGAGGTTGTGAGTGAATAAGACAGCACTCAGCACATCCAACTGGTGTCTGCACTCATGTCAACCTTCAGGGGCCCCCGGCCATGTACAGCAGACTGTCTGATTTTGTGCTCCTCCTCACTTTCATAAGATCAGGGTTTAAGGTAGAGCCCACTGCAGACGCCACTCACCCAGTCCAGGACACCTTGCCCCATGACGCCTGAGCAAGTCCTACATACAGAGGGATCGCAGAGGATGCGGGAAAGCTTGCCGAAGTTGGCCCTTTTTGTGTAATAATATTAGTGAAATCTATTTCTATTTCAATAGTCTTTTGAAATAGTTCTATCCAGTGGTCATACATCAGTCAATTTTTTTATCATTTCTCATTTTAGATGGTCCTGAGGGAGTTTCTGTTCTTCACTCAGGGCTTAGATGATACAATAAAGCAATACTAATCCCTTGGATCACCTATATGTGGACACATAGTGCTTTCTTGCATGACAATAATACTTGCATTTTTTATTATTCCACGGATTCTTTCCTTTGATCCTCCCAATTACCTCCAGAAAGGTGGACAGAGAGACTCTTACTGAGTATTCATTTTCTAAGTGTCAGGCACGAGCTGTTGCATTATGTCAGTTACCCCATGCAGCCCCGGAGGTAGTCTATGTAATTGTCTTCGTTTACATAAAGAACCCGAGGGTCATAAAGAAGTGTCTAATACAGCACTGTCTTGATTCAAATCCACATCACCCTATTTCAAGAGAGATAGCACTGGCTCGATTCAAATCCACATCACCCTATTTCAAGAGCTATTCCCAGGAAGGGAGAGCAGGCAGAGGGCCTCCCCTCCCAGCCACAAGGAAGAGCTTTGCTTTTCAGGACTGAGTGAAGAGTTGGTCTTGGATTGTATAACCCAAGTAAGATGGCAGCGTTGAGATCTGCTTATTTAAATGAGCACCAAATCAACATGTAAAGGAATTACCCATCATTATTACCTTTCCAGTGTTTTGAAAGACTGGATAATATCCTTTGCATGCCCCCAGAGAAAATAGACCTAGACGAAAATAAAAGAAGAAAAGAAAAATGCATCAGTGGGATTGTCATTGTATTTGCACACTTGAGAAACTATCAAACTTCAAGAAAAGGAGTGGGGGAGCACTGAGGACACCAAGATCTCCCACCCGAGAAAGGCAAGTGGCTCAGTCCTGTGATTGATCGAGGATGTAAGCTGGGGGCAGGGTGTGGCAATGGTTGCTCTTCACTCGGGGAAATTTCTTAATTTGCTTATACCATATGTATCAGGCTTTTCGTTTGTTTGTTTGTTTGTTTGTTTTCAAGAAATATCCATGGAACAAATACTCTGCACAGTGGCTAGAAAACCAATGCTGCATGCTTTAACGAAGAACAGAATTGAGTTGGGCCGGTCTTTTATTCTGTTCTATTGCATATGCTATACAATCACTAGTAGCAACCCAAGGAAGGGATGGAAGCCATAGACATTGGCATCAGACCTGTGCGAAAACCCTAACTCCCTCCCTGAGTAGCCAGTGCCTTTGGGCGAATAAGGAAACCTTGCTGACTGTTTTCCCACCTTTGAAATAGGGATGATTACAGATCTTACCTTGGAGGACACTGTGAGCAATTAAGAGAGATAATCCATGTCAACTACACAAAACACGTGGAGCATATACCACCTTAGCAAATATTCTCCACTGCCAACTCAACCATTGACATTGGCCGAACACCTCCTGTGTACTAGGCATTCTTGGAGCTTCTGAAACACTTTGGGCCTTATTTTAGAGATAAACACATATTGAGCACCTACTGCATGCCAAATACTGATGGGCGTTTTATAAATGTGTCTCATTGAGTCTTAATTTTTCAATTAAGAGCTATAGAAAGAGGGGCCAGCAGGTGGCATAGTGGTTATGGGTGCTCGACTCTCACATGGCCAACCAATGTTTCAATCCCAGATCCTGCACCTTGAAAATCACACGGGGCACATGTGCGCACATGTCCAAAATCCCAGGCCATCCTCCTTGGGAGGCGATTTATCACTTTCCCTCTCACTGACAATAGAGAAGGGGGGGCGGCACGGCCATCCGCCATGGGAGGCGATTTATCACTTTCCCTCTCACTGTCTGTTTCTCTCCAGCAAGCACACATGCCCCATGATAGGAAAACAACAACAACAAAAAAAAGAGCCAAAAAGAAAAGCACAAAATAAGACAGTACAAAATAAAATACCCTTAAACATATCTTCTACATTGTTTTACCTAAGATTTATTATCTTGCTCAGGAAAATAGTTTCAGTGTTTTTGGCACAACACCCACCAATTTAAAAACAGACAGCAGTGAATCCTTGGTCAAGGTGACATCTAGCCCAACAATAAAGAAATAAGTATAATAATAGTCACCAAAAAATTCTAAATTCGACAGCTGTTTAATTGATGCTCTTTATAAAGACTACATGGCAACACAAATAAGTTTATGATTCTTTTATTTGAATTTATTTTATACATTCGATTACTGTACATCACTACAGCTTGTAAAATGAATTTACCCAACATGAACACACTTTGCATCAGTCCAGTTGAAGATATCATACACGTTACCATCAAGTTTATGATTTTTAAGTGAAGAATTCAGAGTAGAAAATTCTACACTCTGTAAAACTTCAACTGGAATGTGCTCTTTATGTACGAGGAATGGAGGGAATACATAAAGACAGCAAGTTCCAGCTTCCACTGAAGAGCTTACAGGAGCAATTTTATTCTCTTCACCATTTTTTTAATTATATTATACTAATATATGTAATATATTAATATATACTAGTATAAGATTACATATATTAGTATAAACACTAGTGGTTTATAAATACATGCTCTTTAAAAAATTACCTTATGGGGGGGCAGCAGGTGGCGTAGTGGTGAAGGCACTGAACTTCCACAAGGCCCACTGTGATTAAAGTCCCAGACCCAGTGGCTTGAAATTCACATCAGGCATGTGTGCATGCTTGCCCAAAATCCAAAGAGTCTCTGGTGAGTGTACATGGGAAAAATATATATATACATATGTATATGTATATATATCATATAGTCCAGCAATATCACCACTGTTTGTATATTTAAAAGAACTGAAATTATCTCGGAAATACATTTGCTCACCTATTTGCAGCATTATTCACAATAGCCAAGAAGTAGACGCAGCGCAAGAGGCGGTGAATGGATGAGCAGGTGACCAGCATGTGGTCTAGTCACACATTGCAACTGCATTAGCTTTGTAAAGGAGGGAGACGGACAGGTGCCACGATATGTAGGAATCTTGAGAACCGCACTGCTGACTGAAATAAGCCAGTCACAAAAGAACAACTAGTGTATGATTCCACTTATACGAAGTATCTGGAATATGCAAACTCAGAGAGACAAAAGGAGAACAGTGGTTGCCAGGGTCTAGGGAAGTAGCAAATTGAGAGTTGTTTCATGAATAGAGTTTCAATTTTGCAAAATGAAAAGGTTGTAGAGATGGATTGTCCAATGCTGTGAATGTACTTAACATTACTGTTGGTGCACTTAAAATGGCTAAGATGGGAACCAGCAGTTAGTGTAATGGCTATGTCACTGAACTCCCATGTAGCTGACCGCGGTTCGAGTCCCGGACCCAGTGGCTTAAACTCACGCTGGGCACATGTGCGTGTGTGTTCAAGATCCCGAGAGGACAATGGAGAAGAAGGGATTGAGGTGTGGCCACCCCCCCTGGGGGGGGGATTTCTCACTTTCTATCTCTTTCTGTCTCTCTCTGTCTTTCTGGTGAGCGCACGTGCCATATAGCAAAAACCTCTCCAAAAAAAAAATGGCTAAGATGGAGCCAGCTGGTGGTGTGGTGATGCGGGTGACTGGATCTCACATGGCCAACTGTGCAGTTTGAGTCCTGGACACAACAGCTTGAAGAACATGCTATGTGTATGTGTGCCCAAAATCCCAAGAGGAAAGCTGAAGAGAAAGGACTGTGGAGGGAATACTTTCTCACTTTTCCTCACATGCTCTCCCTCTTCCACTGGTAAGCACATATGCCCTACAGTAAAAAAAATGTCTAAGATGGTAAACTTTATTTAATGTGTAATTACTACATTTAAAAATAAATATGTTTTACAAAGCACCTGGAGCACTGTTTTTCTTAAATAATGTTTCCATTTCCAGTAATCTAATGTTGCGAAAGAACACAGTAAGTTTCCAATAGGCGTAGAATAATTAATTGATTGACTGATAAAATGCCTTAGGAAAATCTATCTCTAACCCACCAAGTAATACAGCGATATTTTGAAAACTCACACCTATTCAGATCATTCCTCTGCCTGAAGCCTTCAATGGCTGCCCATTGCTCTTTTTTTTTTTTTTTGGAGGGGTTTTGACTATAGGGCGCGTGCGCTCTCCAAACAGACGGACAGAGACGGAGAGACAGAAAGCAAGAAATCCCCCCCCCCCCCAAGGGAGGATGGCCCCGCTGCAATCCCTTCTCCTCCATTCTCCTCTCGGGATCTTGGGCACGCACGCACACGTGCCCGGCGTGAGTTTTAAGCCACTGGGTCTGGGACGCGAACCACGGTTGACTACATGGGAGTCCAGCGACATAGCCATTACACTAACTGCTGGTCCCCCATTGCTCTTAAGATGAAGCCCAAGCTCCTGAGTGGCAGTCAACTCACTGCATACCTCAGCCTGCGTAAAGCGCTTTCCATGCACCAGTGCTTTCAGCCCTCACCACAAGCACATGAAGCAGGTGCTGGGGTTGTCCTCATTTCACAGATGACATTCATGAGGCCCAGAGAGGGTAAGTAATTTGCTTGCGGTCACACTGCTGGTCAGAGTTCAACGTCTGGCCAGAGTCCAACCTTACAAGTCTCCCACCAAACCATGGCTCCAGCCCATGCCCACTGTCCCAGTCTCAGCTCTCCTCACAGCCAACCCTTTCTCCCTCTACCCTGTCATGTGGAAAGACCTCACATCCCAAAGATGTCCTCTTCCAGGGACCTCTGACTGTCCATCCCTACCCCTCCCTCTTTCACAGCTAGCTCTGGAATATTTCCCTGGCAGAAATCACCACACCCCAAGCTGGCAAAATGCCTTCCTTCATGCTCCGTCATCATTTCGGGCAATGCTGGTCAAAGCACCAAACCTGGTGTTGCCAGTGTTCCTGTGAATGGCTCCCATCTGACAGGCATTTCCGCAGGGCACAAACCATGGCTTTTCACCCTGTGCTCGTAGTCCCAAGAACGGTTTTCCTAGTGCTTAAAAATGGGCTGACGAGTAAGTCCTAAAGACGTGTGCACTCCAGTGTTTACTGCAGCAATACTCACCATAGCCATGGTATGGACTCGACCAGCGTCCATCACCAGATGAGTGGGTGAAGAGAATGTCTACACAGTGACACAGTGGAATACTGCTCAGCCAGTAAGAGGACATGGTCCCGTCATCTGAGATCAAGCGCATGAACCTGGAGGATACTGTTACGTGAAAAAAGCCAGGCACAGAAAGAGAAATACCACATATATTCCCTCATGTGGAAATGGGGGTGGGGGCGTGACGAGGCGGGGTACAATCACAGAAGCAGAGAGACGAAGAATGACTACCAGAGGCTGGAAAGAATGGGGAAGGGGAAGTTGAAAAGTTTGATTCATGGGAATTAAAGGTAGAAAAGAGGGATCATTTCTAGTGTTACCCACTACAGTGGGCAGAATATAGTTAACTAGAGTAATTAAAAGAGAGGAATTGGGGCTAGCTCCACGGCAAAGCAGTAAGGTGCTACTCAAGAGAAGTCAGATCCTACGTGCAAACCCCAGCTCAAATCCCTAATCTGGTCAGCCTGAAAAACTCCAGGAACATGGGACCAGCAGTTAGTGTAATGGCTATGTTGCTGGATTCCCATGTAGTCGACAGCGGCTCACGTCCCGGACCCGGTGGCTTAAAACTCATGCCAGGCGTGTGTGCGTGTGTGCCCAAGATCCCAAGGGGAGACTGGAGAAGAAGGGATTGTGACCTGACCATCCCCCCTGGG